CGTTCAAAAGATTCTCGCATGAACTGCAGTGAACGGAACCCTTTCACCGAAAACTGTTCTGAACCGGGAGGGGATCGAACCACTCCTCTTCACGTCCGGATGCAACGCGTTACCACTACACCACCGGTTTTTGTGCTCAGGTCCAGCCTGGCAGCGCATCTACTGAGTATCTCTGCCTTTCAAAGGAAGATACACCTTTCTTTTCTTCTCTTTTTCTTTGTACCGGCTTCTTGGCTGGCTTTTCACGGATTTTCCGCGGCACGAGTAAGAGAACCTCAGCAGCGTTTCCGAGGAACGGGTGCTCGAACAGGGCAAGATTCATTACGGAAAGCTCAACACTGGTCCAGTACCTACTTGAAGTTATGCAGGGGAAAAAGAGACTTATTTCATCCTCACAAATTGATCAAGTTCCGTCATTTCTGAAAGGAAAACCTTTAATTTTTGAAAGAAAACCCCGTCTACTAATGTTTATGCTATGATTTTTTTCTTGTAATGTTAGTTTTAGTGAATAAATTTAAAATCGCTCTTCCGCTTTCATAAATTTGCGGAGGTTCTATCGCGGTGTTGAGTTAAGGCGTATATGACTTAATGGACCGAAACGTCTTATCTCACTCTTATCTCCTCTCATACTGTTATCTGTCGTACTTAGACAGTTAGGTTTCCAGGGTCAGCCTGGTTGCTAAAGACAGCTGGAAGGCATCCTCTTCGGTGAAGTACCTCACCGTGACAGGCAAGATATTTGTGGTAATGGTAAGAAATGTATACAACTTAATGGACCGGAACATTTTTTACCTATTACAAATATTTCCATAATTTCCTTTCCCCTTCTAGCAACTGTCGCACTTTTTGTCATCCACCTTCAATTCAAAAACCAGAAAAGTTAGAAAGCTGAAACTTCAGAAGTGTGTGCACACACCCTGTGCAACCCTCCCGCCTTAATATTATCACTCGGTACACCTGGATCCCACGTACGGACGCCTCAAGGACGTATACAAACTTTTTGGCGAGAAACCGACCTTAGGATCCAGAAAAACTGAAAAGACGAATTTTTTACTGCCATAATTTTAATTAACAAACTCCCAA